CCATCCAAATGGCTCGATGATGGAAATTCTAATTAAATCAATTCCATCTTGTCGGCGAACCAGAGGTTTGCATAAGATATGCATGAAATTAATAATTATGGGTAGGGAATTAGCTGCTCCCGACCGTGTTTCTGGCACGGGGGTGGTGCAGGAGTCCCTGCCTGGGGGGATTCCCGACCGGTGTGCCCAGCTCTACCTCTGCAGTGGCCTCGGTGCTTTTCAGCTCCTTGCCTCCTGGCTCCTCAGGCTGATGTTCGGAGAGATGGTTTCAGGCTCGCCTGGGATGTGTTGAAATCACCACCTTTGCCTAATTGTCCTTGTCCCGGGGGAGGGGGGGGATCCTGTCCCCCTGCCGCAGCAGCTCCCGAGCCGCGTTAACGATGGATGCTAACGACGGGTGATAATGATGGAAAAGCTCCTGGATTTCTTACGCAGTGTTTTTGAAGTCAGACTCACCAGTGCATTGACCCAGCGGGCTGGAGGAGCAGGATGTCGCCCCCAACTCGGCTCCTGCTCTCATGGCCCGGCAGATACTGCTCCAGGCTCGGGGTGCTTCAGGATGAAGCCAGTTCTGGGGTTTGGTTCAAAAAAAGGTAGGACAGAGGTTTTACTCGCTGCTCTGGGGTTACTCCCCATTCTTGGTGGGATAAGGAAGTTTTGGGGTGCAGGAGAGCTGGCCCCATGGATTTCCTGCCCCCTCAATCCGGTGTTCATCCCAGGCTGGGTATGAGCCAGGCAAAGGACCACCAGTGCCCAAATATGCAGCCGAGATCTGTTTTCCACTCCCCCTTCCCACCTCATCCTTCTTTCTAAGAACCTTGAATTCCCTACCTGCATTTTGCTTTTATGGACCTAAAAGGACTTTTGTCTTTTATCTGAGAAAATAGCTAGTGCCAGGAGTTGGGCTATCAAAAAGGCAGAGGGGGAAAAAGGCAGAAGAAATCTCTGAAATGGTCATCTGGGAACTGGTGTTTTATTTTCACTTTCATCCACAGCAGAGGAGTGAAAGAAAAACCTCTTTCCTTTTGTTTATTAAAATACAGCTTACAGTTCGTAGCCTGTGGATCAACAGGTATTTCCTGAGCTTTGTTTTCCAGCTGGGTTTGGAGCAGGATGGGCAGCCCGGGGGTTAATTCCAGACTGAGCTTGGATGGGATGGCAGTGGCACGGGGAATAGCTGGGAAGTCTCCATCACCAGCGCCCTGCAGGGGAGGAGGGATCTGTTTAAACCAAAACACTTTGCAGTGGAAAAATCACTTGGAAAGGATCCTCTGGAAAGGCAGGATTGCATCCCTGCCCCCGAATCACCTTTGGCACTATTGCTTCCCGTGCCTGCATCGCCTGCACCCCGAGCGCTGTCCATCCTGCCGCGGCAGGGAGGAGGCAGAGGAGCCAGGAGCAGCTCCCCCCGCTCCCTCCGGGATGAGTGATTGCCAGGCGAGTGCCTCACCTGCTGAGCAGAATTTTAATCGAGTCTCATGCACTGGCGCCAGTCACAGATCCCCAACGAGCAGATCAGAGCCCCTCGGAACGGAGCACAAAGCAGATTGTCACAGGGAGTAATCCTATTTGTGCCTTGATAAAGATTCCTTCCTCTCCCACTCCTTCTCCATCTCTCCCTTTTTTCATCTCCTATTTCGCAGGCAGGTAGAAGGTGGCTGCTCCTTTCCAGGGGCCTTTTAGCATTCAGGTGGAGTCGTGGGTTTATAACACTGGAATCGCATTTAATAGAGAGAGAGGCAGGAGTGGGAGAGGGGAAATAACAGAGAAACAAAGGAGAAGCTGGGATATGCAGGAGCAGAGGAGGATGGAGTATGTCCTGGGGCTGGGAGGGCTGGGAGACCAAGTAGGGTCTGTGGGGTGGCCTTGGTACACTTCTCGTCCTTGGGAACAGCTCCCCAGGTGGGTACCCAGCAGTGTGGCTGGATCTTGTAACACAAACCAGGACTCCTGCACGCCCCGAACCTCCCCAGGCCTCTCCAAGCCCACCCAGGTGTCTCTAGTGCTGGGAAGGGGATGGCTGGTTACTGGGGAGGGGCGCTGGGTGGAGCCTGAACTGGTGCCTGCTGAGCCTGGAGAGTCACCGGGATCCCGTCACCGGGATCCCTCACAGCTCCCTGTGGCTGCAATTACTCCTAAACCAGATCAGAGGGAAGAGCAGAGGGGCAGAGTCCTGGAGATCACTGCTCTGTACCCCCTTGTCCCTGGGGTGGTTTGGGGCCAGCGATGGCCTGGGCTGTTCCTCCTCTACTCGCTCTGTCCTGCAGTAGAGCAGCACCTGTGGGAAGGTGAGAGGGTGGTGGGTGGCTGGACCCTTCCCTGGGGTGCTCCTGCTCCAGGCAGGGCTGTCTCTGCCTGCAGAGTGCTGCCCTGTGCTGCAGCCCCTGGCCTGGGGCAGGGCTCTGCCAGCCCCTCCCGCACCTGGGACAGGTACCAGCTCGGGAGCGGGACCGGGAGAGACGGATGGGGCTGTCTGCCTACTTGGGATGTCTTTGGTAGGGAGCTTCAGGCTACTGGGGAGAACCTGGGCTTGATAATTTAATAAGCCTTTTCCATCTTTAAGATAAATGAGGATGTGTGGTGTGTTTTGGAGATGGAAAGTGCTTTGTAAGTGTTAAACATCGCCTGGTCCTGCGGTGCTAAATCATTCCAACGCGCTGTGAGAGGTGCGACGGCTCTGGTTAATTTAAAGAACTTATTTATGTCTTGGGTGGGCAGGACCCAGCGGGGTGGGTTGGATCCATCCTTCCTGAGGCAGGAAGCCCAGGAGAGACTTTGGCAGTGGTGGCCAGGGCAGAAGTGTCCCTGAGCTGCAGGTGGTTCCCCCAGCCCTGATGTTTCCCAGAGCACCCTATATCCATCTGGTGGCACACGCTTCACCTGACCCATGGTCTGCCTCGATTCCCACCTCCCTCTCCCCCCAGAGCTGCACTTTGGGAGCATGGGCAAGGCCAGGAAACTGCAGTGGGGTGGAGATCACCTCCTTCTCCTGATGCTTTGCCTTTCCTTCCTCCATCCCAGATCCCCCAGATCAGCTATGCCTCCACCGCGCCAGACCTGAGCGACAACAGCCGCTACGATTTCTTCTCCCGCGTCGTCCCGTCGGACACCTACCAGGCCCAGGCCATGGTGGACATTGTCAAAGCCCTCAAGTGGAATTATGTCTCCACCTTGGCCTCCGAGGGCAGCTACGGCGAGAGTGGTGTGGAGGCCTTCATCCAGAAGTCCAGGGAGGATGGTGAGTGAGTTTCTCCTGGATTGAGAGCAGCTGGGGATGGAGGAGAAAAGACAGTGGATGGGATGGAGGGATCATAGAATCAACCGGGTTGGAAGAGGCCTCAAAGATCATTGAGTCCAACCCTACTGTGGTTACTAGACCGTGGCACTAAGTGCCACATCCAGTCTCAGCTTGAAAACCTCCAGGGCTGGTGAATCCACCACCTCCCCGAACAGCTCATTCCAATATCTGATTAATCTTTCTGTAAAAATTCTCTTCCTAATATCCAACCTAAACCTCCCCTGGCAGAGCTTGAGTCCGTGCCCTCTTGTCCTACTGCTGGTTGCCTGGGAGAAGAGAGGTCTGACCCTCTCCCACCGCGGCTGAGCCACGGTGCTGGCGCTTTCCAGAAGAAAAGACTCTTACAAATAGTCCCAGGTTTTAACAGAAAATGAAGCTGGCACCACCGCGTGCTTCGCCCAATTTTAGTGGAATTATCCCTGAGGGCAGGTGCTTTAATTTGTCTATGGGCTTTGGACAGGAGGGAAGTCTGTGCTCAGCAAAACTCTTTGGGAGGATTTGTCTGGAGCCAGAAAGCATTTTGCTGACAGGAGCTCTGGGATGCTTAGGGGGGATTAGCAGCCTTGGGAGCAGCCTCAGAGCTTGTGGGTACCCAAGCATCGACCCTGGGGCGGCCAGGATGGGTGAGGAGCCCTGGGAATTGCTGCTGTGGGTGCATTACCAAGAGCTCAGAGCTGCCTCGAGACCCTCTGAGGGGCTGGCACAGCACTGGGGGTCCCTCCCAGCTCCAGTATCACCTTAGCTCCACAGCATTGGGCGTGTGGGGCGAGACGGGAGCTAAAGGGTGTTTTGTGAGACAGTTAAGACCCTGCAGAGCGCAGGCTGCTGCCTATTACTGGCTTAAGTGTGCTGAATGGCACATTAGGTTCTGGCAAAGTCGGTGGGACACCATCCTATCTGGAGCCAGTCAAACTGTGTTATGGCCTTATAAATGGATCAAGGGAATAAAAACTTCTAGGTGATGAGCTCCTAATCAAAGCCCTATAAATAGGAACAGCGTTAATTCCGTCTCGCGCGCGCGCCCTGGCTCTGGAGCCGGCTGTGCTTTTAATATGCAGAGGAACCCATCTGGGGATCCAACCTGGAAGCTGCTCTTCAGGATTTTCACTTGAAAAGCAGAATATTTTCACGGGGCTGTGGTTCTGCGAGGAGGAGTGCGTGGGGATGCGCCGGAGTAGTCGCCGCAGGGGATGTGTGGATCTGCACATGCACAGGCACCGTTGGGTGTGTGCAGTGCCTGGCAGGTCCTGGGGAGTGGCTGGAGGATGCTCTGCTGCCCCACCCATGGGTGCAGCCCCCCGGGGTCTGGGTGCTGCGCTGCACGTGGCTGGGGGGAGTGGGCTGATGCAGAGAAACACACTCCTCCCCCACGGAGCACCAGTGAGGAGCAGTGGTTGAGACTCGTGGTCCTGCTGTGGCACGAGCACTTCTCCTTTGAGATACCTGTGGTTACCCTGAGCTCCTCTAACCAGATGTGAACGATCTGACAGTGTAATTGCAGAGTAAACAAGTGTTTGTGGAGCTGAAGCGACCGCGTGTTAATCCGGGGCCGAGGCACTCCTGTAATTTGTGTACCACGTAACCCGACGATTATGTGCATTAGTGATAATTTAGTTATCAAGAAGCAGAATTCCCGTGGCTGTGGTGCAGCAGTGGTGTGAGGGCAGTGGGTCCCCAGCGTGGATGTTTGTCAGAGCTGTTTGTTCCAGCCCCAGCACAGGGCCCCGGGTGGGATCCCCCTGCTCCCTGGAGCGTCGCTCCCTGCGAGCGCCCGGGGTTGGCCACACTGCTGTGCCCACAGAGGTATCTCTGCAGCCATGAATAGCAGCGAGGCTGGACCCAGAACATGCTGCTTCTTTTCTCTTTTTTTCCCTTTGACACCCCTAGCCCTGCCCTCTGGGGTGGCAGCTGCCAGGCTGGAGGAGCAACCAGGCTGTGCCTGCTTCACCTGTCTTCCTCTGCACCAAAGGCTCTGCTGGTACCAAACACCTTTGCAGCAGTGTGGGTCCACTGGGACGGGGAGAAGGATCTGTCCCTGCTGGGATGTGTGGCAGAGGCTGTGCTGGCTCTGCCTGGGGGTTCTGCTCTGACCCCAGATCGGGGTGAGCGTCTCCCCGCTCTCCTCCCCACAGTGCTCTGCTTCATTTCTCATGCCAAGCCTGAGCCTTCAGAGTCGGGTTTTATTTCCATCAGGCAATAATGCTCATTGCTGTCGTTAGCAGCTCGCACTCAAGCTGTTTGCTTTCTGATGCATTATCAACTTGACCTTCAGTTTCAATTTTTAGCAAAGCCTCACGTTGAAGCTTCACATCGCAGTGCAAAGCGTTTCTGCTCGAGGCACAAACCGACCTCCGATGACAGTGTGGGGAAGAAACTTGCCCTGGAGATGGGTTATTCTTGCAGCTGGGGCTGGCCCTGGGCTACAGTGACAGACTGACCCGGGTGCTCTTATATCTCTGTTTATTCATCTCTGTATCTCTCTCCGTATTGCAGTCACTCTGGTGAGGATGCTGTTGGCCCCTGGCGATTGCTGGTGGCAGCACTGGTGGCTGGAGAGTCCTTATTAACTAGTGCTGGTTTTTTTGGGTGGTAGCGTTGCAGAGATGTTAAGTCTGCAAAGGATGAACTTCCTTCAGCTGTTTTGAAGTGTTTTAAGTGCTGCCCAAAGCATCCCTCTCCCAAAAAATATCCCACTCCCCAGAGCATCCTGCACAGGGAATGGATTTCCATTGCACATGGCAGGAGCAGCGTTGAGGTGTCCCCAGCCCCTCTGTCCAGCATCTCCCGATTCCCATGACCTGTGGAATTGTCCCAGTGCTTGGACAGACCCATCCACAGCCCTTTGGTTCTGGGTCCTTGATGTCTTCACTGCTGCTGAGCGCTCGGAGATGAGGAATTGGGTTGATGTTTAAGTAGTGGAGCTGGTGAGCATGGTGTGCTGTGCTGTGTTGGAATGTGCAGTGCTGGGTTTGTGAAGAGGGGAATATTTCCAGCCCAGTGCAGGACTCCTTAGTCATGTGCCTGGATCAATTTTACTGTCATTTCCCCCCTCTATTGTTTTATCCTTCACTGAGTTTTCTATATTTTTAGTTAAGAGGCTGATTTATATTTGTGATGCATTTGCTCATCCCCATGTGACATTCCTGGCTGTCTCTTTCTGGTTTTCGCTGGGTTCATTACTTTCGGTGGATGCACCAGGATGTCGCCCCCAAAAAGCCTCTCCCAAGTGTTAAGGCAGAAGGTTTGACCACAGAGTCTGAGTCTCGTGTGCAGGGCTGTGGTTGGGGTGGGAGCCAGGGGCAAGCAGGGGAGATGTGCAGGTGCTGGTTACTGATCCCTCTTCAGGGTGCCCAGGACGGCCCGGGGGGCTCACCGTGGCAGGGACACACGCACATCGCCGTTCCAGCACGGCTGATCCCGGTCCCCTTCCCCGGATCCCTGCTAGCTGCACACTTGGCAGGCACTGACTGCAGGAGCCCTGGCACAGCCCCCTGAGTGATGTGCATGTCAGAGCCAGCGCACGCTAATTAGCCACCTGCAATCAAGAGGGGAGCCCAGAGCGGCTGCGCTCCCAGCGAGCCGGAACGGTGGAGATTAAACCCTGCCCCGTGTTTGACAACAGGCTCCAACCCCAGCAGCACGAGGAGAGTCCCTGGGGCCCTGGTGATGCCAGGGGAGGAGAGATCCCACTGGGCTGGGGATGATGCTGCTGGCAGGGCCGTGGCCGTGTGCCTGAGGATGGCACAGGCAGCACTTGAATGAGAGGTGTGGAGATGGGCTCAGTTTTTGAGGCTGTTTCTTGCCACAGTTGCCCTGTGTCCTGTGCTGCCATCCATCAGCGACGGCACGCGTGGGATCTCGTCTGAGCATCCTCCAGCCCGGTGCCTGTCTCCAAACTGCCTCCAGCTGCTGGTTGTGGGGTGTTACCCTCATCCTGGAGGCTTTTCCCTCTATTCCTGCTCCTCTTTGGTCCTTTCCCAAAGCTGGGGGAGGAAAGGTGTCCCCAAACCTCACCTCCTATCTTCCCCCAGAGTCAGACCTTGCCCCAGGTCGGGGAGAAGTGCAGGGAGAGTGGTCACCTCCTCCTCATCGCTGCTGCTGCCTCCTCACTTTAATTTCCTGCTTCAGAGGAGTGTTTTGACTAAATGGATTTTTGTGCAAAGGCAGTGGGAGCATCGCTTGGCAAATCCTCTTCCACTGTGGTGCTGGGGCTGAGCAACAGAGCTCCCCAAAACATGCAACCCTGCCCACTGCCCCCGACCCCCTGGACCTCTTTTCTTCATTGTGAAGTTTTCATTCATTAAGATGACAAAAGCCTTGAATGGTGTTGTCAGGATCTGCTGCGGGAACCAGGGGCTCTGAGCCCTGCGGGCTGTTACCTGGAGGAGCCACGTCCCTGGTTAGTTTGATTTAATGGAGCAGCCAAGTAACATGGTCATATCTGAATTGCCATCGATTTAGTCTCTTTTCTTGTTTATTTATGGGCCCATCTCCTCCGTCCTCCTCCTCCCGGCTCTGCAGGAAGACAGTCCCTGGCACAAGTGCACCCAAAGCACTCGCTGCGCAGTGGGATCCCAGGGATGCTCGACGCTGCCCTGGGGCACGGGGAGCAAACTGCTGGTGCAGGACCCTGGCACAGACCTGTCCCGTGAAGCCAGGATCGCTCCGGCCGCACTGGGATGCACTGGTGCCACTGGTGCCGCGTGTGCCGTGCCAGCCCGAGCTGCCACGCGTGTGCTCACGCCAAGGCTGTGCCAGGGCGTTTGGGAGGCTCTCGTGTTTGCTAACTGCTGCTTCTGTTGGATTTTGTCCATTTATTGCCATGGAAACTGTAATTAAGCTGCACGGGCTCCTTAGCCCGAGCCGAGGCCCTGGCAGAGCGCTGCGGTGACCGGGTGAGTGACCCCGGGAGGGACATGCCCATCCTGCCGGCACTGCCTGCTGCTGCCCCTTGCCTGGCTGATCTGTCTGTCCGGGTGTCTGTTTATCCAACTCCCTCCTCTCCCTCCATCTGGCTCCCCATATGGGAAACAAACAGCAAATCAGCCCAAATTCTTTCTGTAGGAAAAAAGCCCCAACCCCCAGCCAGAAGGTACAGGCTGGGCAAGCTGTGCCCCCATCCCCACAGCTCCCTCACTGCGTGCTCAGCACCCAGCAGATCCCACTTCTCCTGCCCCCAAGGGCCCAAGTTCCCCCAGTTTCCCTCCAGCCCCACATAGGGAGCGAACCCCCTGGAGCCTGTTCACACCCCACCCTGCCCTGCTCCTCTCCGGGGTCCTGCACGGGGAATATCTCCCTGCCCCAGGTGCTAATTACACCGACCTTTGCTTAATCTGGGTTAGTGGCAG